TATGAGTTGGAACCGACTTCACAGCACACTACCACCACCAAGTCTACGTAGTCACATATAGCTAACCACTTGTCATTGACAAGGTCCAACTCATGGTGACTTCACATGTGTGTCAGAGTAGAGTTGTATGCTCTACAGTTTTCATTGACTGATTTCTTTGGAAGTTGGTTGCTAGGCTTTCTTTTGAGGTGTCCCTAGGTGGATTTGAACCTACATCCTTCCTGTTAGCTGTTGACTGATAGTTACTATATTGGACAGCACAGACACAAGGGCTCTCTGATAAGGCATCCTTTCTTAGTCTATTTTATGGTTTGGTATCCTTTTCTACAAATTGGCTGAATCCATCCAGTTGGCTAGACCTTGGGGCAATTTTTCCAAAGCTCAGGCCACCTCCCAAGAATCCCTTCTTTCCCCAAGGGATCCTTAAGGCAGGACTTCCCCAAATGTTCAGTCATAGGTCTTGTTAACCTTGAAGGGGTGATCTCCTTTGCTTTTAGACAATTTTATGAGTTCCCCCAAATTGCCCAAAGAATCCTGCCCATTCATTATGTTTTCTGAAAGCTCAGTCTGATCACATTTCTAGATAATGTCTTTGGAAGCAGAGGGGAGCCCGCTGGACTCTACACATGTTTTGGGTCATTTTGTGCTGGCCGGGCTGAGCAGCAATGATGACGTCCTCATCACAATGCCCTGCTTTTCCCTTCTAAAGGGACTGGAGACCCAGTCCTGGCTGGGCTGTGTAATCTATTCATTTCCTTCCAAGTTGGGTTCTGTAAGCTCATTCACGGGGGACAGGGGAAGGAAGCTGGGGAGGGAAGCAGACACACATACAGAAAACAAACAACACTCTCCTCCCTGTTTTGGGGGGGTCAGGCTGTGGGGAGAAGGAGAAGGGGACGAGGCCTTAAGGGACTGTCTGGAGGGGAGGAGGGGATGAGTTGGAGAAGGAGACAGGAGCGTCCCTTCTAGAAGCCCTGCCCCAGTCATGACTGGATTCCCCCATTCTGGTAGGCTCTTATCTCTCTCTATTCAGCTGCCTGCTTGGAAAAGAGGCCATCAGTGCCATAAAGCCAGAGTGGCAGCAGGCAAAGAGAAAATGGGAAGATGGGAAGTGGCACTAGACCACTTCTCCGTAACATCCTTCTGCACTCTGCCTCCTCTAGAGTACATGGATGCTGCTCTGATCCCAAGGAGAGTCACCCTTCAGCTAAGCCACCACCTCTGTCCAGCTACAGAATTCAAAGGGCCTGAGCATTTGGCTTCAGTGGGTGATTTGCATATGATTTGCATACATCTGCATACCCCTCTCCAGAGGCCCTCAGTCAAAGGATGTGAAATGAAATAAAATAAATTAATTAGTGCCGTCTACCATAGCTCAAGATGCAGGGCCTGACACCCGTAAGAGATGTAACTGATTCTTAAAGCAATCAACGTGGTCACTGGTTTGAGTGGGAGAGACCAATGGGATGATGAGTAGAGGGAGAAGATCTCAACATAAGGATGGAAAAGAGTAGAGAAAGTGTCCAAACCAAAACCTAGGGCCTCCCCTCCTGCTCCAGTCCCCATTCTTCATCTTCAGAGGACATCAAGGTGAGTCACGTGGAAATCAACTCCTAGACCTGGTCTGGCACCTGCATTGTCCTTGACCCTAACAACCACCTTTGCAAAGACAGTTTTACCATGGTGAGTGCAGTAACAAGACTGAGGTCAGTTCATGCAAGGACTGGAAAGGCAAACAGGTGCCCAGCTGTCTTTCCCCGTCTCTAAACTCCTTCCAGTCTTCATCTCCATTAATAATTCCCACTGGGTTGCCATATTTTCTCCATCAGCTGGATAGGGCATTCACTACCTCTCACTCTGATCCCATCTAAGGGCTGGTTGAGTGGAAGATGTGGTCCCATCGTCAGCAGTGAGCTGGAGTTAATTTCTCCCAGTCCTTCTGCCAGGTGCTAATGAGATGCTCCCAGCATGTGTCAGCCAAGCAGTTCCCATATCATGTAAATACGCCTCTTAGCAATTCAGTTCATGGCACTATTTAACATGTGCCTTGACTTTCTCTAGACCCACTGAACCATCTAGGATGGAAACCTCCTCGAAATCTAGGATCCTGCAGGGTGAACAATGTCAGGTTCACACCTGTGGGGCCAGGGATGCCAGGGAGAGTTGGGGTGAAGTACACTGGAACTGATTGTAAGCAAGACGGGCTTTATGCTAAGATGGAGAACAATTATTATTGTTAAAAGAGCCCAGATCACAGCCAATAAAATAGCACAAACCAGCAAATGATGAAATAAAGACCAAAAAATGCAAGAAGGAGGTGCAAGGTCAGAATGGTTCAAAGGAAGACAGGACTAAGAGCAAGAAAGTGGCTGAAGAGAGCAGTTCTGAGGCAAAGCCTTGAATATGAGTGAGCCCCAGAGGGCTCCTCTCACAATGTTCCAATGGCACAGTGGACGAGGTGGCAGCTTGAAGGACTAGAGAGAGGGGTCTGTTTTTAATGCTTGATCACCAAACTGTGCCCACCCCACATTCCACCTTCCCCACCCCCTACCATACTTCAGCAAGGCCAGTTACACTTAGCGGTTTTTTTATCCACTGGCTTCATTCGATAAAACAGTGACATGAGTTACAAAAAGGTTAACAAAATGCTGTCTTAGATCAACGGGTGGCAAACTTCCGTCCAGAGGCCAAATTCATCTACTATTTCTTTTTGTATGCTTTACAAGCCAAAAATGTTTTTTTGTTTTTTAAATATTTTTTATTCACTAGAAAAATACATGGACTCTGGTGTGGTGCTGTAGGATCAGCACTGGACTGTGAACCACAAGGCTGCAGTTCAAACCCATCAGCTGCTCCTTGGAAACCCTACACATGGTCGCTGTGAGTTGGAGTTGACTTGACAGCACTTAACAACAATGAGAAAAATACATAAGTAAGAAGATTTGGGGACACAAAAAAATTGTATGAAATCAAAATCTCTATGTCCATAAATAAAAGATTTATTGGAATACAGCCATGCACTTTCATGGGTTGAATAAGGTTCACCTAAAATTCTATGCTGCCTGGTATCTGTGGTTGTGACTTTATTTCGAGGTAGAGTCTTTGCTTATGCAATCAAGATGGCAGCATGCTGGCCTAGCGTGGACCCCAATGCAATGACTAGTATCCTTACAAGACAAGAGGGATTTGGAGATACACATACACAGAGAACACCATGTGAAGATACAGACACACACACACACACACACACACACACACAGAGATAGAGATAGAGAGAGAGAGAGAGAGAGAGAGAGAGAGAGAGAGAGAGAGAGAGAGAACATCAAGGGACAAAGAGGAAGAGAAGAAAGTTCCACTCTCACAAGCCAAGGAATGCCAAGGATTTCCAGCAACATCCAAAGCTAGGAGAGAAGCATTGAGCAGATTTTCCCTCCAAGTCCCCAAATAGGAATCCACTCTATTGATGCCTTAATTTTGGACTCAGCCTCCAGAAGAGTGAGAGAATAAATTCCTGTTGTCTTGAGGTACCCGCATGACATTACTTTGGTACGGTAGTCCTAGGAAACCAAATACAACCTTTCATTTACACACTGTCTGTGTCTGCTTTCATGCTCTGATAGCAAAGTTGAGTAGTTATGACAGAGACCATATGGTTGCAGAGGCAAAACTATTTATTATCTGTCCCTTTGCAGAAAAAGATTTGCCAACCCTTGTTTTAGATCATAAAAGACAAGTTCTCTGTCTAATTTATTCCCAAGGTGGTGGTACATTGCTCTGGCATTTCAAGAAGAACATCAATGCCAATGGAATCTTCTGAGCTCAGCCTTGACCCTCTTGTATAAAGTGAGACCAGGCTGGGATGTCCAGTCCAAACACATGGAGGTCTCTGGCAGTAAAAAGCCAGCACAGAGGTCTAAGACCCAAGGGTATTCCTCTTGTTACCAAAACCTGGGCTTTGGTCAGTACCTGCTTATCTCTAACAACATCTGTTCTCAGGCCTAAATTTATGGTGCCAGACACCAGGGTTAATCCTATATGCAGTTGGATTATATGACAAATCATAAATTGATTTTAAAATCAGGATGCCTTCCTGTCCTTCTGTCTCCCCTGCCAAAAACATTACCTGAAGCTTCATGCCTGAAATTCCACCACTGTTACTGTCATTGTTAGGTGCCATTGAGTCAGTTGCCAACTCACAGAAACCCCATGCACAACAGAATGAAACACTGCCCTGTCCTTCATCATCCTCACACTGCTGCTGCCACTGTGCCAATCCATCTTGTTGGGGAGGTCTTCCTCTTTTTCGCTGGCACGCCACCTTAGCAAGCATAATACCCTTTTCTAGGAACTGCCCCTTCCTGATAATAAGTCCAAAGTATGAGAGGCAAAGAGTCACTATCCTAGCTTCTAAAGGAGTTTTCTGGCTGTAGAAATTCTATCATTAGACATTCCTAAATTGTTAGACTGCCACTAGGGTCCACTGTGTTCTCAGAAACTTATAATACTTTGGTAATAATGTGGTTTCTTGTAGTAGAGAAATATTCTATATGGATTGGCAACCATCAACTGGAACATACTGGAAACTGTGATGATAATGTAGGACCAGGTACCATTTCACTGTGTTGTAAGTTTGACATGAGTTGAAGTCAACTCAATGACATCTATCTACCTACGTCTGTCTATCTATCTATCTATCTATCTATCTATCTATCTATCTATCTATCTATCATCTAACGATCTACCTACCCACCCAAGGAACATGTTAAGGGTGCAAAGGAGGTTAGAAAAATATAGATTCTAAGGCAAAAGAGAAAGCTGATTGTGGCATATTTGAGGGGGGTTCAGCAGAAGATAAAAGACCTGGCAGACAACACAGGAAAGCTCAGGTCTAAGTTATGACTGAGGGCACCGCCGAATCTATGAGGGTCTCCATAGTGTCCCTGGGGACTGTACCATCAGTCCTGGCCATGGGTATGGAGGGGACAGTGGTAGTGACTTACCCGGTACCACACGATCTCGCGCATTCGGCCATCCGTTTTGAAGTTACACTTCAAGGTCACAGCATCACCAGCCACCACAGGTGGGAGAGGCTCAATGCTGACGGTCAAGTAGCCTAAGGAAGATAAGAGAAGGGGGTAATGAGGGGCACAAGCTGATCATGAGGGCAGGACTGACTCGGGCAGGTGGGAGAGACAGCAGGCAAATGAGTAAAAGTAATTGCATTGCACAACCATAGGGGGTGCTGTTCACATCACTGTCTGTATGAATGTTGACTGTGGGGCCAATCACCCTCTTCTTCCTCAGTGATATCTGGGCTCCAATGGATCCCTCCAACTCCTCAAACACTTCTTGGGGATGAATTTTCCCATGAATGTAAGACCCAATGGCACCCTGAGGAAGTGCCTCAATGTATTTCTACAAAATACCCCATAGAAATGATTCTGTAGTCAAGTACGTCCCCGCCATCGTCTCTTTCAGAGAGTCGCATTGTGCATCAGCCCATTCAGTCCTGTAGGAAATACTTGGGGAGGTGTATGAAACCCAGCATTCTATCCCTTAACCCCATCACCATCCTGTGAAACCCACACTGAGATTTGGAGCTCTAGATACTTGAATGTCTCCATTCCCATCTTCCAAAACAAATGCCTGAAGAAGACAGCCCTGGGAAGCCACTGTTTGCCCCCACAACACCCTAATTTCCCATCACACTTGCCACCCAAAGGGAGAGGCAGTCCCAACCTTGGGCTGTAGTGGCAGCAATGGCAGTGATTAAAGGCTGATGATCTGGGAAGGCAATGGTAGTTCAGTGGTAGAACTTTTGCCTTCCATGAGGGAGAGGTGGGTTCAATTCCCACCTCATGCTCAGCCATCGCTCATCTGTCAGTAGAGTCTTACATATGGCTATCATATGGAACAGGTATCTGTGGACCTTCCAGACTAAGATGGATGAAGAAGAATGGCCTGGTGATAGACCTCCAAAAATAGTCAGTGTAAACCCTATGGATCACAATCGTCCAATCCCCAATTGATCATGAAAGTGTCACAAGTCCCAGCAGGGTTTTGTTCCACTGTGCATGGGATTGCTGTCAATTAGGGGACAAGGCAAGAGCAGCTAACAACAACAACAACAACAACAACTGGGAAGGGGTCTGAAATCTTTGTAAAAGTTGGCACCAGTGAATGCTTTCCTCAATCAGCTGAAACCCAGATTCTCTGCCAGCTCCTGGATACATTGGCAAGGGTAGGGCTTTGGTAGCCACACTCTTGGGATGGGAAACCTGGCCCAACTAGGATAATCAGGGAGGTTAAAACAAGGAGACCACAGTCAGAGGATTCACAATGAGAGGAAGGACTCTCACCATGGGAGACACAGTTGCCTTGCCATTAAAGTCCAGCAGGCGCAGCCTCTGACCTGCTCTGCTGCCTCTCCAGCCCTGTCCCAGAGGACTGAATAGCCCAGTTCAGCAGGGGCTCTCATTATTGGTCTGATCACTCTGTCTCATCTGAATGGCTTCCTGCCTGGTGATGTCCAGCCATCGATCTAATGGATCAATCCAGTCCAATCGTCTTAATGAGAAAACTACCCAAGATGGGTACAGGGATTTCAATTGTGCAAGCAACCTGAGCAGATCAAGCCCAGGGACCTGACCCCTGCCTGGAACTTAATGGTTACAACACTACAGGAAAAAAAGCAAAAATCGACCTCCAAGAATCAATGTGGAACCTGCAGTCAGATTCAACCTGCGTGATGCAGGGGTTTGGCCCCCAATCTCCAGGGCAAGGGAGTAAGTGCAGGGCCCATGCTGGGGAGGGCTTTGACTTTAACCAGAGATTGAGCCCCTAGGAACCCAGTATTGCCCATCCCTTCAACCCCGTCTTGTGAAACCCACACTGGGATATGGCACTATGATACCCATGCTCATCACCCACAACTTACTAATCAAATTATGCCTGATAAAAGGACAAGAACACCTTGGGAAGCTTCTGTTTGTTCCCTCAGCACCCAGAATTTCCATCAAATACACTCTGTCCAGGCAGACTAGAAGGACTGGTCCCTCATCCACCCAACCCCAAAGTTTGCTGCTCCTGCTCTGTGCAGCACTGGACCGGGGTCCCAGATGTAGGGATGGAAATATACAGTGGGGAGGCAGAGATATTACTGCATCCTACCCATTCAGTGGGGTAAGTACATTGTTTACAGACGGGAGAAACCTGGCTCAGCTAGAATAATCGGGGAGGTTCCCCAGCCACACTGGGTCCCACACAGCAACAAACAAGAAGACCGGTCAGATGATGGATGATGAGAAGAAGAAGGGCTCTTGCCATGGGAGACATGTGTAAGGCATGCAAACAACAGTGCCGGCTTCAATTGCACTGACTTTGCACTAGACATTGGGCAACGGGCTTTATACGCATTGCCTCAACCAATCAACAGCCACAACTACCCTGGGAGATAGAAACCATGATTATTCCCACTCTCCACAAGGAAATGGAGTCCTGGTGTGGTGCTGTGGGCTAATGTGCCAGACTGCAAAGTTATTTGAACTGCAAGGTCGGTGTTTCAAGCTCACCAGATGCTCCTTGGAAACCCTACCCAGGGTTACTATGGACCAGAGTCGACTCAATGGCATTTAACAACAACCACAAGGAAACAGAGAGGTGACGTCACCTGCCAAGATCATATGGCTCTCGGTGACAGAGCTGGGATTCCAATCCTAGCTTTTTGACCACTACAGTAAATCTCAACCAAACCAAATCTTTTATTATTGGACTGATTCTGACTCATGGCCACCCTATAGGACAGAGGAGAACTGCCCCGTAGGGTTCCCAAGGCTGTAATCTTTACAGAAGCAGACTGTCACATCTTTCTCCCACAGAGTGGCTGGTGGGCTCAAACCACTGACCTTTTGGTTGACAGCCGAGTGCCTTAGCCATGGCACACTTGGCTTCTTCCATGGTATAATAAGGTTTCCATCATTACTGATGATGGGTGAAAGATTAATTAATGATATTTACATCAGAGAAAGAGCCAGCAAATATCCCACACCTGCAGCTCTGTGTACGTGTTTCACCCAATCTTGGGAAGAAGTGGAGTAGCAGTGGGGAGGAGGGTCCGTGCTAGGGTCTGACCCCATTGGCTGCAATTTCCAGTGAGGGGTGGGGCTGCTTCACCAGACTCACCTTTTCAAGGGAACTGCCCTCTCATAATGAAGAGCAGAGATGTCAGCTTGAGGACTAGGGTGCGCCTGACCCAGGCCATTGTGTTTTCAATAGCTTCATATGGATGCGAAAGCTGGACAGTGAATAAGGAGGATCATAGAAGAATTGATGCCTTTGAGTTGTGGTGTTGGAGGAGAATACTGAAAGTGCCATGGACTGCCAAAAGAACCAATAAATCTGTTTTGGAAGAAGTGCAGCCAGAGTGCTCCTTGGAGGCCAGGATGGCTAAGCTTCGTCTCTCCTACTTTGGATATATTGTCCGGAGGAAACAATCGCTGGAGAAGGATGTCATGCTGGGTAGGGTGGAGGGTCAGAGAAAAAGAGGAAGACCCCCCAATGAGATGGATCAGCCAGGTGGCATCATTGATGGACTCAAGTGTGGCAGCGGTAGTGAGGTTGGCCCAGGATCGAACATTGTTTCGTTCTGCTGTGCATGGGGTCACTATGAGTCGGTTCCAACTCGATGGCACCTGACAACAACAACAACAACAGCCCTCTCATAAGGCTTCACCTCTGAAGATACAGGTAAGAGTTGAGCATTGTCAGTCCACATAGCTAATAAACTCAACACTAGACAAGAGAGAGTCTCCTTCACATAATGAAGGAGAAGGAAGGGCACATTCTCAGATACATCTATCTGCCAGCCAGCCCAAGGGGGTGCAGATGGTGTGTGCACGTGAGGCGGGCCAAGTGCAGAGGGTCTAGTTTTCAGGTTACTGTTTGTTGGTCTGCCATGAGGGAATCACAGGTGTGAGTCTGGCAAGGGTTGGGTAGGGGGATGCTGCAGTTTTGGTAAATGGGTGGTTGTGCTAGGAGCACCAGTGGGTACAGCAGACGTTTGGAGCAACAGGATTCATAGGGACATGCCAGGAAAACAGAGAACAGCTCACTGCACAGGGAAGAGAGGTGTGTCCTTGGGAAGCAGTGAATTAGGTGCATAGTGGGGTTTTCACTGGCTAAATCCTAACCACTGGGACAGCAAATAACATTATGACAAATGGAGAAAAGACTAAAGTTGTCAAAGACTTCATTTTTCTTGAATCCACAATTAACACGCTTGGAAGCAGCAGACAAGAAATCAAAGGACGTATTGCATTAGGCAAATCTGCTGCACAAAACCTCTTTAAAATGTTAAAGAGCAAAATGTCACTTTGAAGACTAAGGTATGCCTGACCAAAGCCATAGTATTTTCAGTTGCCTCATATACATTTGAAAGTTGGACAAGGAATAAAGAAGACCATAGAGAAATTGATAGCACTTGAATTATGGTGCTGGCGAAAAATACTAAAAGTACCATGGACTGCCAAAAGAACAAACAAATCTGCCTTGGAAGAAGTACAGTCAGGAGTTCTGGTTTTGGTGGTGGTAGAGACAGCCAGGTAGAAAAGGCTCCATGAGGGAGGGATTGAAAACCCAGAGAAGCTGTGCTCACGGAACAATACCAGAGCTCTGGATCTAGCATAAGGTCTAGGCTGTCAGTTTCCCACATATGCAAGTGGGAAAATCACTACATAAAGGACAATACTGTGAGTTAGGAATCGTTCAAGATGGAACTCCCTCTGTGGCCACCCTGCCAGGGCAGAGTTCAGAGGGCAGGGCTACAGCCAGACTGGCACAGGGAACCGACACTGAAAGTGGTGCAGTGACATTTGCAAAAGGAGGTGTGGGGGATTCTAAACACTTTTTCCTCCTCTTCCTTGTCGTGCCTTCTTTGTCCAGCTCGGATGCCTTCAGGTGGGTGGGTAAGCAACCCCCCCAAAAAAGTCCAGAGCTGAGCCCACGGTTTTCCCATGGCATAGAGAGAAAGAGCTTGTTCGCTGTTTATGACATCAGCCTGTGGGTCCCAGCCCTAAAATTAACTTGTGCCGAACCCTTTACTCCGGCCTAT